CAGGTAGTTCTCATTTCTTTTGCTGTTGACCTGCCCAATCTGGTAAACAAAAGTGCAATGCCTGCAAGGCAACAGTTGTATCTATGAGCCCTTTGGTGCACTTGCAGATAACCACACCTATTGAATCCCAGGGCATAGCGTCTAATTTCGACTTCTCATATCGTGTATTGTTGCACTTTTAACTTTTTTTTCGACGCCACGCGATGCAGTCCGATCGAGTCTCTAAGCACTCTGGCACCATTAGATGTATTGTGAGTATGACAACGGGATGATTGGAGATAAGAAACGATTTGGTTCTCTACCATATCAAACCTACTCCCTGGGGTTCCTCCTTCAGACTCGGCAGAAAATCGCATGGTTCAGATGGATCATCTTCAACCCTTCAAACGATACAATGCCAGCATGCCTCCTCGTTGACATCACTGATCTCTCCCTCTCTGCAGGGCTTTAGAATCCTCTGGGGAGCGAGGGCCCAGTGACTCGACGTTGGGGAGGCCCACTGCATCGTGTCCACGCTCATATGAGTCCGGTGATCAGAGAATTTGAGTCATCCTGATATTGGCTCATGTTGGCTTTTCACTCTTCGTTGACGTTTAAACAAGGCGTGAGGCTTTGCCCAGCCCGCCCATGGCTGAGAATATGTTCGTGGCTAGCCGTCAGTATTCCATCACGGCAAGGCTAATCCCTCCGAGGTATAACGCTTCGCGAGGCGCCAAGCTTGGCGTTAGTCGACACATCTTTCCAATATTGTCTTCGCTTCCTTTCAGGAAGAGACTGCCATAGGTTAGATAAGAACAAATTATTAGTGCCACAAAGTGAACCGCTTCAAAATAGTTCTGATGCGTCTCACCGCTTCTCCGAAGGGATCATTGAGCGTTGGGGCCCCGAACGGCTGTGATCCTACCTGTAGTCGGAGATTGTGCCCTTCATTCTTCTAGATTCAAGTCGAGCCTTTATTTCTGGATATCACCTACCTGATTGTGGCGATCTTGGGGTTCTTACCACCTTGAAGATCGCCTCGCCAGTATGGTTGCTCGCACACTCCTTACTGTCATTGAGTTTGCTCCCATTATCATCATCGTCGCAGATAGGTTCATATTTGAGGCAAGAACTCGTCGCGTCAATCATATCTTGAAAAGAATAGAGGAGCTCACAGCAGCGATCTGGGATTCGCCACGACCCCCAGGTAAGCCCGACATAACAAATTAATATGACCAGAAACCCAACTGACGTGAAAATACTCGCTCGCAGAATTCATGAGGCACCAACTACTGGCTTACCTTCAGAAAATGGAAGCAAAGCAAAGAAGGGGCTTCATCCTGACCGAGTATCAAATGGAAATACTGGCTGAGGCACGAAGAGCTTTACAATAGTCGAGATGGCTATCCTGCGCCCCTGCTGATATCTTGACTCAGCCTGAACGTGCAGCATGCCGGAAACGAGACCGCGAGTCGACTATCCGGAGCAAATAAATTGTAGGGAGAGAGACCTGCAAACATTGTTGATGTATTAAGAATTGATCCGATGTAGATGGGATTTTAGAGGCGCAATAATTTCTACTTCAGACGACAGGGCGTCGCCCTCGATGTTTCTTTCTTACTAAATCGAGGTGAAAATGTCCAAACCCAGCATTACGCACGGGGGACTGCCTATCGCTCCAACCGTTTGAGCACCGGACACTGGACAGTGTAGGTTGATGGCTGAGCCTCATGTGGCGGGGGGGTGCGACGCCCGGCCCGCCCCCGTCCTTGTCAAACCTCGGGAATCTTCTTGGCGCTGATCTGACGTGCCAGTGAAGCTCGAGGATACTACGGGCAGCGCAGCAACCCTTTTGGATTCGAGAGTTGGGTAATTGGTCGGTTCTTCTGCTGACTTACTTTTGGTGACGAGTTGAGACGTAGAAAACATGCTCACCTTTCACGTCTTTTTGTCTGGTTTTCGTATTCATGAGCGAGTAACTGCCACCACGAATTTGCAAATACCACCACAACTGTTCAGTTAGTCCAGTGATAAACCGCGACATGCGCCTTTCTTCGGCTTCTCTTCATGTCAAGATCTTCAATGTACCCCGCAAAACGCGGCCTCGATTCCGGAGCTTCCGCACGAGCCCATGCCCGATGAAGCCTCACACCCTTACACTTCCCCAGATTATGACAACATTAATTCCCAGAAATCGGCCAGTGACTATAAATTCCTGGTTTTCTTTCAATGTTCATCCGCACTCTCCCCGCAGACGGGCCGAATGTCGTAGTGCTTCCGCGGTGTCTGTTGGATGATGCCCCAATATCTGGTTGTGCCATGCGTGGCGATGATGTAGCATCTCACGGTCTTTAATATGCGTAAAATTAGAACCTTCTTAGAATTAACATCATCTGAATGAAATGTCCCACGACACGTTTGAGCTCGTTTCCACCATGTTGCTCTCCTACTTGACTCTACTGGGGATCGTATCCCTCACATTCGCCGGCAGCAAGTCGGAAACGTCATGCTCCGTCATCACCCAGCATCTCAGTGATCCGCCCTACGAAAACTACTTTTATTCCGATTGCAACGTCGACGCTCAAACCGTCGTTACCAGCCCTTTACCGGACAGCAATCTGACCATCATCGGCCCTCGTCTAATTGTCGCATGGCCGGCTGGTAACAGTGGCATCTGCACCTTCTTCCAGCCTAAGAACGGACAAAATGGAACACTCGCAATCGAGCTCGTCAATTCTACCCTGGGACAGCCTTTAGCCGGGACTCATCATGTCAAAAAGTCATCGGGATATCCTGTCGTGGGTGTTGAGGGCGTCATTTCGTTCAACACTTCTGCGGAGTTGACAATTACGATTCTAGGCAGCATTAGAAACATTCGCGACTTCACCGAGGGGCCCAGCATCCTTGAACCTGTGATCCAGGATGTGATCAATGTCACCAGGTTCAACAAGACTGGTGTTCAGTTCTCTCGGTTGTGGCTGGATAACACAACGGTTACCACATTCACTCTTGCACCCTGGCAAAACCCGGACAGCCAGATCAAGATAGTGAATGGCACTGCCAGCTTCGGCGCAGGCTTTTATCACTTTTCCGCATCGTTCAACTACCCACAGCTAGAGCAGCTCAGCCCCAAGCAAGTGCTCAGCAACGGCTCGTGGTCCTTGATCGAGCAAAAGCCGTCCCAGACCCGCTCCCTATCATTTTTCTCCTACACGGAAAAGCTGCTGGCAGGTGGGTGGAGGTTCTTGACCTATTTTGGCAGAGACAGTATGATTTCTGCATTGCTCCTTGAACCCGTTCTCAGCAAAGGAAACAGCTCTGCCACCGAAGCCGTGATCGGGGCCGTTCTTGAGCGCATGAACAGAACGGATGGCTCAGTCTGTCACGAGGAAACAATCGGAGACTATGCGACGTTTGTGAATTTACAGAAGAATATCACGTCGACAGCTGCGGGTTTTACGTACCCCATGATCGACACCGATTACTTCTTGCCGGTTCTGATGGAGAGATATTTCAAGTCATCACCCAAGCGGATCAAGCCTCTCTTGAGCACCAAAGCAGGAAGCATTGACAAGGAGAACAGGAACCTGACTTGGGGCGATCTCAGTTTCATTGGCGCTCAGAAGATCATGAACCTCACTAAGGCTTTTGGAGAGGAGCAGGCAATCAAGAATCTCATCCATCTCAAAGATGGCGAAATCGTCGGACAGTGGCGCGACTCTACCTATGGCCTTGCCAATGGCCGCATTCCTTTCGACGTCAATTGCGCATTGGTCCCGGCGGCTTTGTATGCCATTTCCAAACTGGCAGCGCTCCCAGGCGTGTATCCTGACAATGCCGTTACGAAAAACTGGGCGACAATTGCCGCCAAGAGGGCCAAAATTTGGGAGGATGGCACTCTCCCGTTGTTCGAGCACAACATCACCATCAATCAGGCAAAGTCTCGACTGAAGGACTATATCGACAAGAGCACTTTCTACGACGGACCGACACATGCAGACTCAATCACCAAGTACTCTTCTGCGGACAAAGTCATTGACTACGCCATCGCCATCAACAGCACCGAGTCACCCGAGAAGATCCCAATCATGCACACAGACACGGCGTTTCGCCTGTTCCTACTAAATTCGACAAATGATGAGCAACTCACAAGGTTCATCAACGCGACGGCGAATACAATTCTTCGCCCGTTCCCCGCTGGCCTAACCACACCGGTTGGCGTCGTCGTCGCGAACCCTGCGCTGTCCGATGACGACGTGCTAATTGCAAATTTCACCAATTCTGCATATCACGGGACGGTGGTTTGGAGTTGGCAGCTGGCTCTGATGGCGAAGGGTTTTGAACGACAGGTTGAACGCTGTGAAAAGTCCGCGTCTCCTCAGCGATCTTCGGTGCCAGCCTTTTGTGGGGACGAGTCTGTATACAAAGCTGTGAAAAAGGCTTACAATGTTCTTTGGGATGTGATTGAGGATAACTCAGATCAATTGCAGTCTGAAGTTTGGAGTTGGACGTTTAGCAGCGATGGGTTCAAGTTATCGCCGCTTGGGGTGCTGCCGCCGCCGCCTGGTGTAAGTGGGGGAACTGAGAGCAACATCAGGCAACTCTGGAGTTTGACGTTTTTGGCCGTGACGAGAAATAAAGAGCTGAAATAATTGGCGGCAATGGCAAAGATGGAAAGGATTATAATGCAGTGTTGATTCGTGGTTTCCCGTCTCTATCGTTCACGAGACCCATGCGCATACAACTTTATCAGTACACACAAAACCATCAATTGAATACGAGATAGCCTGGACGTCAGACCACCAACGGCACAGGAAGTGAAATGAGAATCACAGTTAATAGATCAATTCAATTTTAATTGCGCAATCAAATCTAATTCGTTACTAGCGATTCATGTCCCATGGTATCCTCTACCCACCAACACCATCCCGTCCCACCCTACACCCTGCCAACCGCAAAAAAGAAAAATGCCGCAACACACGGCAAAAAGAAGGATTTTGGCGGAATCAAACCGCCTGCAATGGACGAACAGGGAATCGAACCCTGGACCACTCCCAAACTATTCAGACGAATCGTGCTAAGGGAGTATTATACCACTAAACCATTCGCCCGAGTCGTGATTTGATGCTTGTCATTGCATCGCGCAGTCCCCATCAATGGTGGACATCAGCTCCTCCGACTCGGCCGAGATTGGCAGCAGAGCCGGATCGATGTTGCGCCTGGCAATTTTCCGGTGCAGCTTGTCCAGCGTAAGCTTCCACCACCCACCCATCTTGACCCAGTCGCACGAGGACCCAAAGTCAGTTTGGTACTCGAGCATGAGCCTCGTCATGTGGTCTTTGAGCGTTTCGTCCTTCGACACGGCCCACGCAGTCGTGAGAGAGATGGGGACGTGGCTGGAGCCCAGCGGCCGTAAATCATATGCCTCTTCCGCTTGCCGGATGATCTCGTTGATGCACGACTTCGACTCGTTGACCAAGCTGGTGTCGGACGGGTCGAATTGTTGGAGGATTGTGTTGAGCAGCAGGGCCAGCGTGAGGGCAATATTGTAAGCAACGCGCAATCCGTGCTGGACCCTCACGTATGTAAAGCCCGGCCGTGTTGCGAGGTCCTTGTCAGTGACGTGTGTACATTTCCGCTGCAGTTTCTGACAGTCAATCCGAAGTAAGTGGTACGAGGAGAAGATGTCGAGGTGGTTCGCTATGGGATCTTTGAAGTACGCCGGATATCTGGAGAGACTTCTGAGGCTGATGCTGGAGAAGACGTCTGGGTTGAGTCGTTTGATCCTCTGGTAGTCTGGGTGTGGAGGCCCGTCTGGCCCTCTGAACCTGTCCAGCATCTTGTGGAACCAAGGGTTCAGCTTGATCCTGGGGTTGACGACGCTCTCCATGATCTAAAAGATGGTCAGTCATGCATCCATAGCTAAGTGGTGGGTATTAGATGCGTACAACTGGAACACACATGGCCACCAACATCTCCATCTCGAAAGCACCGCTCCAGTCTTTGTCAGCCATCGCCTTCAAGAGGTACGCCAGTCCTTCTCCATGGCTAGCTGAACTGGGAGCACCTGGCAGACCAATCCAGCCCTGAGAAGCGAGTGAGTAAGTGATCACGAGGTATATACAGTGTATGTGAGCAACGTCTGTGCCCAGAGAAATTACTCACCTGAACAACCATGATCAAGTATATTGCGCACATGGTCTCTGGCGTTTGGCCTCTCACGGGATCGTCTAGACACTCGCCCAAAGCTTTCAGCGCGTGCCCATACTTTTGAAAAGCCTCCAGCCCGTATGCGTCAGAGTGAAGTGTCGAGAAGCCCGTAGCAAACGCATCGACCGCAGCGTCCAGGGCTGCATTCTTGCCGATCCGCTGTGGGATATAGCGCAGGAACGTGCCGTACGTCTGGATGTCGTAGCGGAGATCATCCACGGCCAGTCGCGACACAAAGACGGTCGCGATGGCCATGGTTCGGCTCCGCGGCATGACGGCCAGCGGGTTCGTCTTCTGGATGCGCACCTTTTTCGTCACCATCTTGACGGGCTCCGACTCGGCTTCTAGCACCTGCACCTTGAACTTGTAGCGCTGCTGGCCGCCGCCGACGCACGCGATGGAGAGGCGAGTGCATCGTGCACACGCGGGTTTGGCCTGGTCGCACTATAGATGCATTGGTGGCGTTAGCGATGGGCATCACCACGAGAGACGGTGAGAGTGAGAGACGATCTGAACTAACCTTCTTCTTCTGTTTCCGGCACGCATCGCACCCTTTTCCTGACGGGACACCGGGCATGTTTGGACTATTGGCGTCGAGCGCAGCGATTTACCGAAAGCAGTAAACACCGCGCAAGAGCATCAACTGATCAATAAGTACAAGGGGGAAAGCAAAAAAGAGGAGGCGTGTCCAAGGTTGTTGGTCTGTCGTCGGTCGATGAGAGAAGGGGCCAGAAACGACGCCCCGCATCTTTAAACGGGCAGAAGAGGTTGGCTCGCGAAGCAACAGGGATCTTCGACTCCTGGAGCTGGAGGGCTGAGGGCCTTGGCTGATGTCGACGACGACGCTGTTGGAGGATGTAGGGACGGATGATTGGCTGTCGAGGATGCTGACAGTTCCACTGCGACCTGCGAGATGATGGAGCCGTGAACACAGCGGCACATGGAACCTGTTTGGGATTAGTTTGGATCGGAGGGTTTCATTGATGTGAGGCGAGAGATGCATTGTCAGCACCATCAAATCCTTGGGGGTTATGCCTGGTCACGGCTCTGATTGATGCCTGTTGGCATATGAAAGGCTTGGCTCTGCCTCTAAGTGATGAGTTTAATCATCTTCTCTCGACCCTTCATCCAATGATACTCGCAAAGTGACTATTTGCCTCGTTTACAGGATCGACGCCTCGGCCATTCCGCCGAATTGGGGCTATGCTTCTTGGTACAGCCCTACGACATGGCCACTCTGCGCTCCATTTGCCCATAGCAGGGAATGCCAGGCTCTGCAGATCATCAACGCAGCCTTATCTCACTAAAAGTGCCGACCCGATCGTGCCACTATTAGTCGACAGGGTCTATTAATAAAGATCCAAAGTTCCCTTGTTTCAAAAGATTCAATTAGACGACTTTCAGCTACTGTCACCACCAGATTGAAAAGACCCGCGCCTTACCAAGCACGCAACCGACTCGACGAATCAAGACATCATAGCGAATTGCTTCACTGGCTCAACAATGACAAATGTTCCTCCTTCGGGTCCTCAAACCCTCCTCATTCGTCCGTCATCACAAAACCCAGACTTTCTCTTCGTGCACCCCGATGGAATCCCCATTGAAGCGCCTCCGATGTACACCATCCAAGTCAACAAATACCAAAAGCCTCACGTCACCGTCTCGCGCGGATACATGAGCCAAGAGTCAATAATCGGATACGTTACTATGCACACCTTCTCCTCAACCACCGACATATCTGTTCGTGGCCAGTCAATGCCGATGAAAGAGTCCTCACTCTCTGGCTATTACACACTCAACCTTCCGACCATGGGCAAATTCAAGTGGAAGCCAAATCCCTTCACCATGAGCTCTCCCGAGTTGGTCGACAGCATGGACCAAAAGTTGGCGAAACTGAGCTCCGTGAGCCTCACTGCTATCGGCCAGAAGAAACTGGAAATAATGGTTCCGGTTGCTGATTACTTTCTGGATTTTATCGTGGTAACGGCCTATGCTGTGAGAATGTCGCTGAAGGCGAACAAAGAAATTGCTTCCGAGGTCGGCCAGGCAGTCGCTGGCATATAAGTGCCTACGCAATGATTGCCGCGGCGCAGCTTTAGACGGAATAAATTATGTACATTGTAATATCAGTGGGGAAGACGATGCGTGGTGGTAGATTAATGTGTTAGACGGACACTGATGAAGCTTGAGCTCAAGATGATATTTTAGAGGTAGATATTGTATATTAGAGTGCAAAGCAAATGCGTCGATCAATGATCTATAACGTGAATCTCCTGCGTACCAGGTCGAGACTGGTCTATCCACGGAGGACGTACGAACGTAAGCTCTCTAAGCGAACGTAATCACGCCATCCTTGCAAGCAGTCCCAGCAGGAACATCCTGAGGAAGCGCCCAGCCAAAATTGCAAATGCCAAAGCTAGACTCCGAAAAGCAAACAAGCTCGCCAGAGGTAGGACAAGCCGTCATACCGTCGGCCGAACCAGGCTGGTCGGTGCTGTCAGGATTCTCGGCTGATGTCTGGGACGCGACAGGTGACTCGCTGCTGACAGGGACTTCCTCGGTAGGGACAGCTTGGTCAACAGAGCTGGTAACGATGGTTACCATGCTAGAGACAATGCTGGTTGCCTGACTGGGAGTATTAGAAAGTACGGGCGTGTCAGTTGAAGGAGACTCAGAGGCAGTAGCAACAGGTGCTGAACTAGCGTCTGTACCAGACGCAACAGGCTCAGAAGAGTTTCCGCCATTAGAGTCTTCAAAGGCGGGCTCAGAAGGGGCCTCGCAGGTTCCTTGACTATCTGGAGTGATCTGATCATTGACCTTGCCATACTTTCCAGGCTTGGGGAATCCGATGACTGATTCAATGGCGTTGGTGGTGCACTCACCGGGGATGTTGGCTTTAAACGGAGCGGGAAGGCCGTCGACAAAGGAACTGTCATCTGAACCCCCGGTGATCTCAATGGGAGCGCAGTTCATGTACATCTCTCGGTTGCCAATCTTGTTGAACCAGGTCCAGGCAAAGATGGCCTTGCCGTTCTTCATCTCCTTGGGAATGGGAATGTTGAACTGGCGAAGGCACTCCTTGTCCGAATCGTTGCCGCACTCGGGGCCGGTCTCTCGACCGCTAGGATCGGTGCCATCGGAGACAAGGTTGCCCGCCGCCTCTGCAGGACATCCGCCGATGATGCTATAGATGGTTTTCCACTCGGAAACATCCGCTGGGGGCGTGTCGGCGTAGGCCACGCTGAACTGGCACGAGCCGCCGCCGTGGACGGCGCTGCCTTGAAACTTGACGAGCGTGGAGGAGCCTGCAGTGACAGTAGTAACATTCTCGACTGTTGGGTTGGCATTTTGGCAAGGGAAGGGAAAGTCAGCACTGAGAGGATCGACTTGCAGGAGAGGAGCGGTGTCGAGATTGAAGGGGTGAGGCTCGATCATGATGAGATGAGATGAGACCTCCCCGCAGGCGAGGGCTAGGGCAGTGCCCACAATCATGGTCTTGTTAATTGACATGATTGCTTACTGAGTTAATTTGGAGCGTGTTGGTTTGAGCAGCTGTAAGTTCAAGCTGAGTGATGGAGCGAGTGCTGCGATGTTGTAATTGTTGTGGCTTGTTGTGAAAGTTATAGTTCGATTATAATGCCAAGACTTGGGTATTATATACATGGATTCTATCAAGTCTTGTTCCTAGAAGCTTTTTGGATGAGATCTTGTTCTCACCCCTTTGTTTCAACGTCACTGAGTTGATGTTAAATGGTGGAACACTGTTACAGATGTTCGGCTTGATCTTTGTGCACTTTCAGGATTGAAAGAACACTTCGGGCATCCAGTACCTTCTAAAACGCGCCAATAGACTGAAAATGAAGGGCAAATTAAGCTTGCAACGAACGGTCTTGTTCGTCCC